AATTTAATAAATAATTAAATTCGTCTCCCGCTGAATGAAGACAACCGGGATTACCCCGCCAAGAATTTCCAGCGATTACCTCATCGACGTCCGATTCATTACTTTTACTCGTTTCAGTCTAACCGCATTATATTCTTTTTTGTCGCGATATCCTGTTCGCGACAGATGTGCAGCACTTTAAATTAATTTTTGTGGAACGTTAAGTAATACGATTGCATTGCCTCGACCCGCTTCTTCTCCTCGCCGCGTACGTGAAGAGACGTGACAAATGCCGGAGGTTTAAGACGCCTCGCGGACATAAGAATGCGTGAGGAGACAATTTAAGGGAATTAAGAGTTAATTGCCTTGAATTGAAAATTTCGCCGCCAATTGAGGCGGAACGAGCGTATTACGTAGAAATAGAAAAAAACGCGTCAGCCCGGCCGAAGCTATGCGGCGAAAAAGTCGCTAGCTAATGCATCTCGGGCAAACAATCTCGTTAAACTAAAGGGATAATTAACAAGCCTCATCGTCGTACCGATTAACCGGCACGCTTCATGCCGCCCGTTTGTCTAATACAAATATCTAACGTAACTATTGAAACGTCAACGAGAACTGGCGGCGAGTCGAAAGTGAATCATTAGGTACAGGAAAACCTTTTTCCGCTAATTGCTCGAGAAATTTCAATCCGCGTGCCAGGCGCTTCTCGACGTTGAACGCGATGGATAAACCGGTCGGCGTGAGCAATAGGACTTTACAGCCGGCACGACCGTGTCATAACACGCTCAACAATGTCATGCCGCTATTACGAGGCGCTCGCGCTCGCGCGGCTGCATACGGCCGCTTGTAATTCCTTAATGACTGCGGAATGCTGGGCCGTTCGAAGGGAGTGAAAGTCGCGGCTGAGCGGCCGAAGAGCCCGCAGTGGTACCCGCGATGACTCGAAGGTTGCGCGAGAGTGAGACGTTCTAGTCTCTAATGCCGCGATACATATCGGGTGTACCGTAAAATCGTTGTATAATCGCCGAACAAACGCGGGCGATAATCGTCCACGTTGTTAATTAGACGAGAAACGACCACCAAACTCGTTCGAGGGATGACGCGGGCCGCTGCCCGGTCCATCAAGGTCGCGTTAGTGTCGGCAGCGCGGCGACACGAGCTGTAAATATATCTAGAGTTGTTCTGCGAGAGCGCGGGACCCTCGGTCCGGTCCCCGCTCTATGGAGAATGCGTGTTTTCAACTGTCCGAGCGATACGACCGCATCCATCACTCGCGGTTGATAAACGACCGCGTGAACGGACGTAAAAATGATCCGCCGATAGTCGTCGGCCGATAAAGCAAAAAGTACCGCAAGACGCCCGGGGGTCTATAAATAACGTAACAACGCTAATGAAGCCCCGTCATTACCATCCCCTCCACCCCCAACGCGATCGAAGGGGCCTTCGACGACTCGGATTCTCGCTTTCATCAAACCGACTGCGATAACGCGGGAGAATAACGGACGGTACCGCGACGTTACTCCACGTCGGGCGGTAATCGAAGAAATTAATAACAAAAATTTAGTGTCACGGCCAATATATTGGACGAGCAGGACAGGGTGCAAGATTTGATGAAATCAACTTACATCGCCAGCTTCTTCTCTCGTTTAACACTGCCGACATACAGTGCGGCGCATTAATTCGCTTCGTATCGTCAAAAAGCTTCTATGTTTAAATAATCAAGTTAGTTTTGTCCATCCCTAATTATTACCCGAACTGAATTAATGCACCTGTACGTTCCTATCTGTTACTTACATACACAATATATGTATCGCTGCGTGGCGTTTTTGGTCTTTTACTTGTGCCAACCCTTATTGTATATGAAAATTCAGCAGGTAGGCTTTGTAACAACGATCTTGTCGGCGCTTTGCCTTTCGCATTCGATCTGTTCGTATTACTTTTTCTTTCACTGTGTCTCTTTGCAATAAATTAAATTAAAATTTCTTATTACATTGTATTATCAGTTTCGATTAATTACAAATTAGTTACGAGATTGAACGCGTTTCGACACTCCCTCAGCATGTTAACAACGTATAAAAAAGATAAAATGTCTAAGGTTAAATCGCGTAAAGAAAATGTGTAATGTTCCGCATTATAGCTCGACGTTAACACTACGATTGTAGTTTTATTCGTAAAGGGAATAGGAATATGTCTGAAACTTTGAACGCAGAATTAACCATGCCAAATTCGGTATTTTACACGCTGCGATTCCTATTATTGTTAATGTAAATTAATAACGTCACAACTTGTCGAGCGGGCGGTAGATCGATCGGGCGATAAAACGATCGTGCTCGAGTAACATTGGGCGAAGAGCCATTGTCTATCGGGACACACGAGCTGCAGGTCGAAGCCGGAGGCTGCGACGAGGGATCGGGCTGGCTGGCTGGCTGGTTGACTGGCTGGCTGCCTGGCTAGCAGGCAACCGGCGGGGATAATTTAACCACGCGCGGCGAGGAGCCGGTTTTCCACGGCGGCCTATCACGAAAGTTGCGCGCGCGGAGGTACGACGAACCGAAGGGATGAGTCACGGCTGTTCTTCTCTCTTCCCACTCTCCTTCCGTCGCGCCGAGGTCGCGGAAAGGAAGGGAGACCGTGCACGCGAGTGCGGCTGAGACGGCAGACTGCAGAGGAAGACGAGGAGGAAGGTGGCGACGGTGGCGAAGGAAACGGGAGGATCCCGGCGCGGTCCGTCGCCGAGGTCTCGCCTACGCGGCTACGCGCTCCTGAGAAGCGTGATAAGACGGGGAGCCGCGGAGCGCGAGGGAAAGACTCGCGGAAGACGCGGGAAGAAAAGCGAGAGCTTAGCGTCGCTACTTATTATACATCTGCCGGATCGCAGCTGCCCTGACTGCGTTAACCGGAAAGAGTTACGATGATTCATTGCCGCCTCGAGATAATTAAGCATCTTGAGTGCGCACTGGATGCGGCAGGTGGACGCGAGCGAAGCGCGTTGCCTCGTCCTTGTCACCCTTGGGCATCCGGTATAAAGACGTACGCCAAGTATCCAATCTCTCGAGAAGAAACGTGCGAATCATGTCGTCGTAGGCAAAATTGGTACAGTTAGCCGGTCGTCGTTATCGCGTTACGATCTGGTCACTCATTACACCCTTAATTTCTGCCCGTACGATCGCGGCCCCTATCGCACGACGCGTGATCGCGCGATCATCGCTAATCTATACAGGTCGATGTAATCGCGCTGGTCGAGGCATAAAGCCGCGCGTAATGTGGAATAGCTTGTTACGCCGCGCGACGAAGATTAATAATAACGTCTACAAAGTGAGCTCCATCATTCACGGGGCCCGTGAAAGGCCGTCGCGCCGTTGTAATGGTCGCGCGCCGTCAGCGTCACAAGGTATAACGTGCAGCTGCATAATACTTCATCATTTCTCTGCCGCGACAACGATGCGATACCCGAGGATGGCCCTCATCCCGCGCGCCGATAAGCACGCAAACCGGGAGGGGGAATCGTGAGCGATACCAACGAATAACTTTGTTAACGCGGGCCCGTTCGCGCCGAGGCGAGTCGAGTCGGGTCGAGTCGGCCTCGATCATTTCTACCAAATAAATCTCCGCTAATCGCGAGCGCCTTCGAGATTTATCGAATCCCGGCGGCCAATTAAGCGCCGTCCGAGAGCTCTCGATTCCGTGACGGCTATCGCGTGGCCGTCCGCGATTATCTCTCCGCGCGGCACGAACTTGAAGGGAAGTGCTACGCTTGATCAAACACAGGGCCGTTATTGGCCGAGGCTCTCTTTCGACGCGGCCGGCCGGATCGATTATTCCGTCGCGGCGATTACGCGGCCGGGAAAAAGATCGGGAGGAAGTCGGAACGGGGTCGCAGGCGATTCATTGCCGCAGCTCGCAAAGCCGATCGCCCCGTGTCCCCTTACCACCCCCTTCTGCTCCTGCATTGGGCGATTGTGCACCACCTACGCTACCGTGTCCTGGAACCTGTTCGGGCGCTGCCGATACACGTATTTCACGCGAGACGTTCGATGAGCGCGAAACGTCTCGCCCCGCGCTATCGAAACTCGTCGCGTTGCGTAACCGTCGCGCGCGAGTTCCATCCCTCCGATAACGAGGGCGGTATCGGCGAGGTTAAAAATTGGGGGCTGTTTTTTCGGGAGTAACGCAACGCAAACGCGCCACGGCGCGATATCAAAGAGCGGCGTAATTAGCTCGGGCAAAATCGAACTCCGATACGCGAGAGCGTGATAATTGTTTAGCGCGAAAACGCGCGATCGGCGTCATGGAATTTAGTAGGCGGGTAAAATTATCCAATTACATGTTACTCAGAGTTAAATTGCGCAAAATGTTTCAATTACGAGTATCCGAGCGAAAGGTTCCGGGCGAGTTACATTGGACAATTAAAAAAAGAGAAACTTAAGCGTCTTAAACTTGGGGCGTGTTCCCCATTTCCTCTCATTTCCTCCCTTTTGTTAGTAAAATGCAGTCTAACAATAAGTACAATCCCTTTCTAAAAGAGAGATATTACCGGCGTGAATGTTAATATCAAACAGTTGAGGCCTCTTTTTTGTGATGCCAATTGGTTTTTTCGAAGCGCGGTGTGCTTTACTTCTCTTTTAGATTCGTGCCATGCCTAACCATTCTCTTCTTTTCAGTTAACTCCTTTAACTATTCGTTACGCGTAAAAATTATCGTAAAAAATAAGAAAAAATAAATAAATCGCGCGTAGGTGTTGTTCTAGTGTCTAGTAAAAAGTATAATAAAATGCCAAAAACTCTCATGAAATTCTTCCAAATGCCATGTTCCACGATTACACGATTTTCAAGGTAAATTTTAAAGGAAAAGTCCGTGCAATACTAGCAGCAGTACTGACAATGGGAGGAAATGGGAACACACCCTTAAACATCTCGCTCGGCCGAAAGCGAACGTTGCCATTTCGCGGCGAGAAATAACGTTAGAAGTGGCGTCGCTTTCGCGAGTAACTTCCTATCAGTAGATGCTTCCTCGCGACTCACCTCTGCGAGCGGCTCCTCCTTGGTGACGTCTCCATTCTTGGGCGTTTCGTCGCGGCTCGGCTTAGTCTTGTCCTTCTTGCTGAAGCTGATCGACCTGAAGGACCACTTTTTCTTCTAGAAAACGAGGAAACGCCATCTGATAGCGATCGGCAGACTCATCGCGAGTAATTGCGCGGCGTGGAAGAGCAAAACTTTTAAATTAAGGTCGAACAACTGAGACCGCCGCGCGAATACGTTTCGACGCGCCGCGGTGACGCGAGGGAAAATTTATTTATTTGTCATCGGGCGCGATTAATTAAACCTGGATCGACGCGCGATAGACGCGAGTCGCCTTACCTTATCCTTCTTTTTGGCTTCCTTATTGTCTGGAGAGGTGGCAGCGTTCGGACTGGCAGGGGTCGCCTCTGTGGGCGTCGTGACTTCTGCGACCTCCGCAGGAGAGTCTCCGGACGATTCTTGCTTCGTCTCCTCGGCTTTTACCTCTTCCTGCTGCGGCTGCTGAAAGCAGAGGAAGAGTCTCCTTCGAATTTCGTCCCCCAAGACGTAACGTTAACTCTACGCGAGTAACGCCAACGATAAAGACACTTTCGACGTACAATGTCTATGTAAACAGGGCTTGTGATTACGCGCATAAATCGTCTGAATTCTCGGAACCAGTTAGAACAATACGAATTGTCATAAATAGTATTTTACCCTAGGGATTTCCTCAAGCATGGCGAACGTGAACGAGGCAAAGGGAACCACTAAGTATACGAACGATATCGTTCGCAAGATATATGCCACGTCGTAAATTGTAAATCCCATATCGTAAATCGATACCTTGTAAAACTACAATGTACGACTTCTCGCGGTAATACTCCTACCATTTTGCGAAATGATAGCCGCTCGAGCATCAGCTGATAGGTGCTTTCAACGCGGCTCTTCACGACACGCGATATATTTAACGTCGTTAAAGACAGAAAACCTAGGTATTTCCCACGTCGTCCTAAAAACGTGTAAACTCCATTACTTTGCCTCGCGTTACCATTGAACGAAACGTCGAACGTTTTGTGGATTATATTACCGTGAGTTACGAAGAGGATATCATCATTAGGAAGCTGATTGAAGATCGAGATCGATTATTTCGTGAATTCAAATTAAGAACGTAACGTCGTGGCAACGTCAAACAAATTATTCTGATGCTTCACAAATTTATCCCGGAACTGGAATCACCCCAATTTGCAGGAAAATTCGTAGAAGCTACGCGAAACATCGAAAATTTCATTACCTCATTTCCCGTAAACTATAGCGAGATAAAACTGATTACACCGACAGGCTTTTCGCCCGCGGGCGGTATACGTTTTCGTGATGATACTTGTATAGTCGTTGAAAGTTTCTCATCTTGCGTCCGGAAGTGCCGCAGCCACTCCGGAATTAAGTCGCTTAACTCTTTCCCATCGTATCCCGAGGCCCATCACTTATAAATAATATCAAACTTCCGTGAACCGGGTTAGTTTTCCCGGAAAGCGCATAGTGCACAACGAGCTGCACGACACGAGAGGTTCCTTTGTCCCGGTCCTGAAAGGCCCTCGACGATCTCTCGCGACGAAGTGTGCGGCTTACCAAACTAGCCGAGAAAAGTGCGGCCGACGAGAAAAGGGCTCGTCTTTACGCGGAGAAAGTTTGCTTGAGTCGATTAGATTTCGGGGGCCCGAGCCCCGAAGCCTGGGAGTCTCCTCGCACAGAGATAATTTTGAAAACTCAAAATCCAGTTACGGTAAGACAAATAAGCCAATAAAGGATGAGAAGGAAAATCGGATTGCGATTCTTTCATTAATTGAACCGAGACTGATTCATTATTCCCGAATCCAGGCATTTATTAATAAAAAATTCTTCTTAAGGCCTGCGTCCACGATACTAGAACTTGGTCCAAGTTCTAGATTCAGGAAACGAGTAGCCAATCAACTTGCAGCTATTCCATAAAAGCCTGGAGTAAAAACTTGGGCCAAGTTCTAGCATCGCGGACACAGGCCTTTGGCAACGTGAAAATTATCTTGCAAATTTCCGAAATAATTGTAGGATTCTCGACTGCGCCGACGTGATCGTTCGTTACCTCGGTGTATGTAATTACGGTTCATGGCGCAAAGCGGGCGGACGGAGCTCCTCGTTAAAAAACGCTTCTCCGAAGCTGGCTAAAAGATCCCTCGGCATTGTCTCCCTAAATTCGCGAGTCATCCCGCCTGCACGAGCTGAAATTATTTCATCTCGCGTTCGCCAAGTAATTGTTCATTGCAGAGCCCACTCCAAAATTCGGAAGACTTATCTGACCCACGCCATTTAGCTCGATTCTACCTTACATTTCCAATTTGCGATCGATAAAACTGGTAGCCGGGAGACGGCAAATATTGGCCGAGTCGAATGAAACGGGCGTGAATAGCGTTTCGCAAGTCGTGGCAGGTGACTGGTCGATTGTACAAACAACGAGCTACTTTATTATCGATGCAAATACGCGGGAACAATTCCAGAACGTTTATCCGAGGTACGCAAACACGCGCGTTGCGCGATAAAACGAGGCGACGGCCAATCAGGCCGACGTTCCATGGCGTCGTTTAAGAACGATATAAATCCGGCGTGGGCGTTAGATGGTGGATTTCCTGATTTACAACGGACTGGGAGGCGCGACGCGCTGTCACATTCGATTACAAGTAACGCGTATGCACAACGCCGTTTCTCTCCCTCTCTCCCTCGCTTTCTCTTTCTCCTCTCGGTCTCCGCGTCTTCCGTTCTCCACCGCAACGACGGCGGCGAGACGAGGCAAATCTCCTCAGACGCGTTTCGCGCGCATTATATTATGTAAATATCGGCTTATTTCTGCATTCACGAGATGCACCGCGACGACGAGTCCCGCGTCCGGCGAAGACGAGATATGAGCAAAGGCAGGGGAGAGAGAGAGAGAGGCGGGGAGAGGGGAGGAAAAAACGAAAATGAACGGACGGAAAACGAGGTCCGAAGAGGACGAGGGGCACCGCGCGCCGGAATATTCTCTCCACGACCCCCCCCCCCCCCCGGGACAATGGCACCACACGAATAGGGGGGGACCGCGTATTAATACGAACCGCAAAACGTCGAGGACAAAAAGCGGGCGTCCGAGTCATTTGCAAACGCAAAAAATCGACCGAAAATTTCGGGCTCGAAAGAGACGGAATAACAAGCCGCGTGTTTTTTCCCCCGTCGTTTCGCATCCACAAAGTTGAAATCGAGCGATAGAGTAAAGAAGCTAAGACTCCATAAACGCGTTGAACTGCGGCAACGTGTGCAGCATCAAAAGATTTCAATTTCAACGCAGGAAGCTTGCGGCAAGCTTCTAATTGGTCAACTCGCGTTGCCGCACGCGTTGTCGCGGCTCGAACCCAAGACTCCATAAACCTAAGACTCCATAAACGCGTTGAATTGCGGCAACGTGTGCGGCAACGAGTCAAAAGATTTCAATTTCCACGTAGGAAACTTGCGGCAAGCTTCCGATTGGTCAACTCGCAATGCCACACGCGTTGCCGCAGCTCAACGCGTCTATGGAGTCTCGGCTTGAAGGCCGAATCAGACTAGCAATTGCAGACTCGGATTGAATTGGGATTGGCGATTAACGATTGTCTTCTAGCCAATGAGAGCAAAGCAGCCAGCGACTTAATCGACTCTCATTGGCTAGAGGGCAATCCGTCAATCGCTAATCCCAATCCAATTCGAGTCGGCAATTGCTAGTCTGATTCGGTCTTAACGTAACGCGAGGGATGCGGAATCGGCTGTTTTGTTTCACGCGCCGCGGTTCTCCAGTATGAATATTGCATTCGGTGTAAAACGAAATAATGAATTAAGATTCCGCGCGCGGGATCGTATTACCGAAGACGCAGGCGGATAATAATAATGACCGCCTCGCCGCGGAGAAGAGGCCGATATATCGGAATTCGGAGGCCGCGTGAGTTTGCCATTAATTAATATTCAAAGATACGCGGCGCGAGGCAACCTTGCGCGGCGGATAAAGACGCCCGGGGATCGTCGCGCGGCTGGGTCGCACAATATTGGAATACGAAGGAATCCACGGGACGGGCGGCTCTCGAGCGAAGGCCGAGAGATTTCCACAATAAATTCCTCGGCACTGCAGGCGCGCATATATGAATACGCGCCGTCCGCGTCCTGCGTACACAGTTTCTATAACGAATTCCCGAGCGTTGAGTAATCGTCGTGCGTTCGACGCGCGCGAATCCGACCGAGGCGATGCCGCCCGCCGCGAAAACGCCGCGCAAAGCGAGAGATCACATGCAACGGAACAGTTAAATTTAACCGTTAAAATACTGGGTCGGAGGGGGGTTTACCGCGTTTTCGTCGAGAAACCGCGTTTCACCGGTGACCGCGAGGGGAGAGAGACAGGCGTTTACCCGCGACGCTCTCTCGCCAGACGGCGGAGACTCGCAGGAATTCAGGCGGGTCAGAGATGCAATTAGTGGCGGCAAAGCAGATGAGTCGTATTAATTAATAAAGCGCGTACGTCCCGTAGAGCTGCTTACACGCGCGATGATTCATCAACGAAACGCGCGGTGGCGCCGAGATATCACGACGTTCGCGCGGTTATTATTAATTACACGTGAAATACTTCGCTTAATTTCCGTGCGATATTCCGCGCGGCTGATTCATCGCTCGGAACAGAGTAGCTCGATAGGCGGATCGACGGTCCTTCTGCCGGCCGCGTTAGTCGCGTATAATATACCGCTACATCAACGCGCGCGTCGCGACCCACAAGCTAATTACAGAAATCGAGGAGATCTGTGAACTCGCGGGATACAAAGCACCCTGCAATTTGGCTGTCGACCGCGCGGCAATCAATCATTAATAAATTTCAGCCTATTAGTGTCCCCCCCCCCCTTTTTCTTTCGGTCGATAATATTCGATCTCGATGTCAATCAATTCATAATTCGCCTCCCTCGGTTTTTTTTGCGAGACGATAACTGTTCTCGTATGCAGAAACGGTTGTAACGTATTCGCATAGTATAACTGGGTAGGTCCACCGTCTGTCGGCCCCTTTGATCCGTGCGGTCCACGTGGTATTCCGCCGTGTCTTCTCTCCAAATCCAGCAGCGTACTCTCTAAAGTCAATCAGTGAATTATCACTGAAAATAGTGAATGGTCACCGATTCGCACACTGAAAAAAATTTCTGGTTGAATCCTGTAATCCTACAGAAATTCTGGTAAATCTTAAAGGAATTCTGGTAAATCCTAAAGGAATTATCTGATTCGTCCATATTCAACCAGAAATTTTTTTCAGTGCAGTTATAAATATGCCACTGAAAATCGCAGCGGTCTTACAATTATCTACTTATAATTGTAAATCAGTGACTATTCACTGTTTACAATGATAATCCACTGATTGACTTTTAGAAAGTATAATTAGAAAAGAAGCAATAATAAGTATGAGTGTCTTTCACGGTAGAATTTTTATCGCGCGCGACCAGGCGTCCGTCGGCGGCGCA